ACACTTGCACACACACACACACACCAACCTTTAAAAGGGTTTAGGGGCTAGGGCTTCTAATCCCAAGGTGGCCTGCACCGGCATCGTAGATGGTCTCCACGCCCTCTTCATCCTCCTGTCATTGCGTTTTTGCGTTCAGGCTCGGGGGCCTGAAACAACTGGGTTGCTGTCAAGGAACTTAATTTAAGTTACCATAATGGGTATATATATATATAGTAGACAATAGGGTTTCCCCAATATAGTAGCTTAAATTAAGTTCCTTAACAGCAACCCAGACAAGCCTTGCAACAAACTTTTTTCTTAGTCCCATCATACCATTGCAGAACAATCCCAAGCCCTGCATTTATACATGTCTCGCAAGACACCTCATATAGTGGGGGACGCATTGAATTTCAGGGGTGGGGAGGGTTTTGATAAGCGTATGAGGGGTTTCAATTGGATCTTGCATGCTGGAAGTACGGGCTACTAGCCTGGAACTGTGCAAAACCTACATGCTTGGAATTGGTTATCATGTATGGAAGACACTGACATGCTAGCTACAGCCGAACTCGGTCCATGAGCATAGTTTTATGGGTCTGATGCGGAGGAGATCCCTTCATACTAGCATCAAACACCTCCATCCCTAACACTAAGCATGTCTCCCAATATATAAGCTCTCTTAAAGTTCTATAGGCAATATTCAATTTTGGGGTCAGGAGGAGTTTTCCTTTTACTATAAAGAGACTAATAGAGTTCACAGGTGTCAAGAGGCCGAGTAAGAAGCAGACAGGGAGGTTTGCTCCGCTACCTACCCGCACCTTATTTTGAACATGGGTTCGGGGAACATCCAGGATTCAAGATTTGTGGTTCGAGCAGGAGTCCTTTTACACCCGGGCAGTCTCACCATCATAAGTCCTATGGGGATTCCTATAGCCTCTTTCTGCGCACATCTAGGGGAACATGCCATGTACCTGGAGTTCTCTCTGTGTTTCGGGTAAGACGCTGATGGCTCAAAGGCATACTGACTCCAAAACAAAATCCCAAACCATGAAACACTGAATCCCTGGACCTTAACACCCCGAAGCAGCCTAAGTGGCAAAGTGGACAATCAAGCAATCCTGGGTATTAAGACGGTCCAGGAACCTGAAATAAAGAACCCTTCGAGGCCCCCGAAAAGCCGTTTCTCAGAGCGTTTAATGACATTTCGCTGAGTCAAAGGTCCTGTACGAATTCCCATGCATAACGGAACCCCTATAGCGCTACATGACTATGACACCGTAAAACTGGTAATGCTACCCCAAACTCCTACGCCAGTTTTTTGGTCTCCGCTCTTATCTGAAATCGTTCTATGTCCGTACCTCTCAGGTAAAAGTGCCACCTCTTGAAATCTTAGCCCATTAGCCCTAATCCGTAAACCCTTGCTGCAACCCTGCGTGCTCCCAAGCCCTCATGGGGAACTAAAACCCTAAAACCCTTAACCCTAAAGCCCTAAACCATGAAGGGCCTCCGTCCACGTGAACCCATCGAACTCGCTCTCCTTGATGTCCGACTTAACTTCGGCGTACCTAAGCAGGAAAGGCCTATGATGTCTTATGTTTGAGGTGATTAAGGTTTGAGGGGTTTATGGTTTTGCGGTTCGTGGGTCTTATTGCAGCTATAGTCTGAACCCCTAGTGTACCCCTCAATAACCTCCATAATACTCCCCTGAAATACTCCCCTCTAGAACACCTTTAAGGAGTTTAGTCCATAGCTCATAAAGTGTTGGGGCTTTAGGGTTTCTTGCTTTGGGGATTCACGGCTGTATGCTTCAGGTTATAGCTACTCGTGTCCAACAAAAACACCTCCAGCCTCACAATCCGCGCATCTCGTACGTTGAGCCCTAAGAACTTTGTGGGGTTTAGGGTTTTGGGTTTAAGGGTGTAGGCTCTCCTAAACCCTAAACCCCCAAACCCTAACCCTAAACCCTCTGTCGCAGGCACTTCTTGTGGAACGGCGACACGACGAACAATGCGTAGTCAATCGGCACCTGGCAAGCGCAGCAAGGGCTCCAGCTGCTGTACAAACAGGCCCTCTCAGTTGCGTACTGAATCATGGGAAAGATGTTTGAAAGTACAATATTGTTTAGGCTTTTGCGTTTTGTAATTAGGGTTCAAGGATATTACGTATTGCTTCAATAACTGAGATTCAAAAAGACAAGAACATGAAAATTCCCAGCAACCACCTGCAATAGGAGTAGTACTGTTGATATTGAAATCCTGCATGACACGAAATGTACTATAATACAATAATTCCCAAAATTTAGGGTACTTCAGGCCATGCGCGATTTTTTAATATCCATCGCATTACGGGTTGTCTACAGCTGTATCATACGTTGACAACCCTCAACCCTTTAACCCTACTGAGTGCGGACATTCTGCAACCTCTAGGTAAAGTCAGCAGCAAGGCGAATGGGACCACAGGACTCTTAACTTCATGCACATGCTTCTTAGGGTTTACGGCTTGCAGGTTTAGGGGTCCTCGGCTCAGACTTATTCGCCATTTTCTGCGGACAGACTAGCTGCGCACAGCTAGCGTCAACAACATACACCATGCATCTTGCTGCCCTAAACCCTAAACCCTAAACCCTAAACTGCAGGAACCTTGAGCCCCTAAACCCCGAACCCTTACCAGGATTCAAATGTAAAGGGAGATATGATCTGAGCCATGATCTAAACTCCTTGCGGGGGGTTATATAGGGGATTATCTAGGGGACTATAGGGCTTGTTAAGGGGTATACTAGGAGTTTAGACATAGCTCATAGCAAGACGCAATCAGAGCACACTGCAGATGTTAAGCATTCAACATGAAAGGCCGACGGTGTTTGTGGGGATGATCACGATCCTGGGAAGGGCGAGTCAGCCTAAATGTGATTCTCCTCAACGAGATTTGGGATTAGGGCTTCCGGCTTGTCTGCCCAACAGGATCCTGAGTACAGATACCTCCAAGAAGGGACGTCGAACTTGGAGAATCTTGGAGAAAGTCCAGTGTGGCTTGAAACCAGGAGCTGAATGAGCTCAAAGCATGGTCCCAACTCCTATAAAAGAATGCAAGGGGTTGCAATGCGGTCAAGGACTTGTTTCTACTTTAGGGCGTACAGCCACGAAAGCCAAAGATTTTCTGGGTCTGGGTTCTCCGGTATCAGATGAAATTCGCAACGCAAGAGGTTGAAGCAATATTAACCCTAAACTCCTATATAAAACCCTGTATAAGCCCCATAGAATCCCTACAATCCCTGTAGTTTGCATTTTCTTTTCCATTATCCCGGGTTTATTGTTGCTTATGGAGCTTGTGCCAGGAACCCAAACAGCCACTGACTGCCTAATCCTTTGACAAGCTGTACTTTACTTATGAACATTCCACTTTTGTATAGTTTAGGTTTAGGGTTTATGTGATAAACATCCCCCTTTTGTAGCATGATCCTATACTTTGGGTATTCTGTTGGGGTGTCTGTTAGTAATATTGGGTGCCCTCCTAGGTCTGATTGGAATTGGACAATACATGTTTTGCCAGAATGACAGCCTTCAAAAGTTGTCAGCTCGGCTTTCAATTCAGCTGTTGCTAGTAAGTGGGACTTTGGCTATTCCACCCCTTATTAACCAGAACTTAATTATAGTCACATGATTGCTATGATTACTTGGAGGGTCAGGTGGGCTCAGTACGTATACTCATAAACCCTATGACCCATGTAATGGCCTAAGTCACCCCTATTCTGAAGCTGCTTTGAAAGCCCAAAACATTGCAAACTATAAGACTATAAGCACTAAACCCTGAACCCTAAAACCTAGCCAGGTGTCGGGATGCACGACAGAGTCTGCAATTTCTGCACCTTCCCAAGATTGGGGTAGCTTTGGGGTTTAGGGTTTAGAGTATTGGGCCATGAAATTTTTTTCATGGCTTCACAAGGGGCTTTACTATGGATTACTGTAAGAATCGAAAGTACACAGCTATTTTCAAACCTGCCCGGAAGATTGGAGGAGGAACCCTTCTGGACGAAGGTTAAGGGATGAATGATGGCTTGGGGATGAAAAGGTTTTAGTGTTTAAGAGGTTGGGTTTAGGGTTCAGGGGAAGGCGGGTTTAGTTTAGGGTTTAGGGAAATTGGGCTTATGGAGTTGGGTTTAATTCAGGGCTTGGAGCCGGGTGCGGTTTAGGGTTTCAGGTTCTGGAGATTCAGGTTTGGGGATCTATTTGAGGGTTTCCCAAAGTGAGGGATACTTCTTTGGGGGGTCCCTATAATAAGGACTACAGTATACTGGGGTCTATATTGGGGTACCCTAGTTTTGGAAAACTACCATTTGGGACTGGAGAAAAATTCCAGTTCGATTCACCAGTGCAAGAACTTGCTGACTTGGCACGGCTAACTTACTGGGCAATTGGAGTTCGAACATTCTACTCGAATTAAGCGTCCCTCCAAGCCAACTGTTGGCCCAATTCGTCGTTACTAGATGCACGATAGCCAGAATTGCAATTACCTGTGAGCTCCAAGTAAGCCGCTGCTGCATGTTGTGCTTGCCTCCTCCTTCTCGTCTGCTGCTTTCCAGGTGATCTGAATGGCACCTGACCAGGGACCCTCTCCTAAGCTAGCATCCCCTAAACCCTAAACCCTAAAGCCTAAACCCTAAAGCCTAAACCCTAAAGCCTAAACCCTAAACAACAACCATAGCCCCAGTGTTAACTAGTACTCTACGGAGGCGCTTTTTCGGAGCTCTAGAAGGCGACTCACTATCCCGCATCTAGCGCGGAGGTTCATGGGTCTTTCTGACTACCGCAGTTCTTCTATCTGCAGTTTGTATGGTCGGGCTACCTGGCTAAAGCTATGGTGAGCAGATGATAAAAAGGATTTACAACCCCAAAATAAGACTCGTTGGGAAGCGCCATATGATAGTTTCCCTAAATAGGGGGTCCCCAATATAGACCCGAAAATATAACAGTCCTTACTATGGGGACCACCCAAAAGTACTCCTAATTCTGGGAAGACCCCATACATCTCCACGTACAGCAGCAAACTGACAGCTCAAGAGAAGCAATACCTTCAGTGCAGGGGGTGCCTTCTAGTGTGAGACTAGTGTACATGCGCACGCATGTTTTGATGTCTGTAGTCCCACGACGCTAAACTTGTCCAAGAGTGAGTCCATCACTACCCACCTCGACCCATCCACTCCCAATTGTCAGGAAGAAGCCTGGCAAATCATTTTACGTTTGGGGTTGAAGGAGCTGCCAGTCTCTGAACATCGGCGGCTCTTGCGGACCCTGAGGAATCGGGATTGCAAGGTGTTTCCAGAGCTTCATCTGAATGCTTATACAAGTGGAATGTTCCGGAATAAGGGGAATGTTTAGAAAATCTGCTGAAGGTGGTGAAGCTCACATCAAACACTTGTAATTAAGCCCTACCTGGCCCTACCTGAGAATGACGACGACAGGTTCTCCATGCGTCTTAACCGAGGTTGGACAAATCACAAGGTTTAGGGTTTCATATCTCCGCTGCGAAAACTACTGTCACCGCGGCGATTTTGCTCTAATTCCTAAAACGTAAATCCTAAGCCGCAAACTTTCAGTCTTTTCTAGGTAGCTAAGCAGTGAGGCTCCCCAAGGCCCTAGACTCAGAATTCCCGGACCCAAATACTGGACAGTGGGAATATGAGAGGATCCGAATGAAGCCCTAATGTCATTACCCTTGTCGTTGTGGCCACATCTAATAGACAGGGGTACTTCTTCCATGTGATCCCCTAACCACCCCCTCATAGGCTCCCCTTGATTAGGGTCATTTGTGGAAAGTCAAGGCTAGCTGAGGCTAGTTGAAAGGAAATCTAGGTTGGTAGTACAGGTGAGAGGTGGTGAATGGAACCTATGCCTAAACCCTAGACCCCTAAACCCTAAACCCCTAAACCCCTGAACCCTAAACCCTTTAAAGCCTGAACCCTCAAACTCGAGGTCCTGAAAATGGCCCATACCCGAGTTCAAGCAAGCTGGCCCCACAGTTCATCATCGACGCCTCGGCAAAATGAGCTGTAGTCTGGACTCCTGGTATCCTCCTTAATATCCCCTATAATACTCCGCCATAGAATCCCTGTACAACCCCTCTAAGGAGGTTTAGACCATAACTCACATAGTTTTTCGTTTGCTACATGCTTCTACATTGTACAGAAGTCATACCCTCGGGCTCCAACCAAATGCTATTTGTAGACCTCTAGCCAGGAAGTCGACAATGTGGACGATACGTTTAGGCCTGGAGCCTAGTATCCCTCCTAATAAGCCGTATAATGGTCCCCTATACAATCCCCTCTTTTGCCGCCTTTTGAGGAGTTTAGAGCGTAGCTCACGTAAGGCTTATGTTAAAACCGACCTGTCTAGGACTGGTTCGGGGCTCTGCTCTCAACGCTACAGGCTTCCCCAGTAACCCCTGAATCACAAGGGCTCATGGCTCAGTGTTTAGGGATCAAGGTTTTCGGCTCAGGGTTCCTTTTCCTAATCTTCAGCTTGAATAAGGAGATCCCAAAGCCAAAAACAAAAAGCGAACAAGCTTGCTACAAGGCTCATGGGACCCTTACGGCCCAAGACCAAACCCTTGACCGTGAAACCTGATAGGATGCTATACCATCCCCAACCTGGCAGTGGACCAAATGTTGACCAAACACTGCCTACACCGCACCATAATGTGTATTCTTTGTAGTAGACCCACACATGTACGAACATACATACATACTTACATACATACATACATACATCCATACATACATACATACATGCATGCATAGATGCATAGATGCATAGACGCATAGATGCATAGATGCATAGATGCATGCATGCATGCATACATACGTACATACACATACATACATTACTACAACACAAAACAATCCATCCATCGATGCATCCATGCAATCACATGCGCAAAGGGAGAGGGAGAGGGAGAGAGATATGGGTATATATATATATATGCATATATACACGCACAAGTGAATACCGTGTAATAGTGGGTGTGCGGGAGTGAGAGTGTGTGTACTGCTACGGCTAACCGATTCATTACATGTGGTTTCCTCAACGCAGCGGCGTCTCGAACATCACAGAGGCATACTGGGACGCGCTAAAATACACCAATTCCAGCATGTGAAATACAACCTGTTCTTGCACTGATCATCAGAAGCAAGATTTCAGGTGGGGTGGGGTTTTAGCTCACAGTGACATATCCGCTGCACTCTTTCTGCTCTCAGCAGCATTCGCAGTGTCCCTGCAGAGACTCTCAAACTCTGCGTGCCTTTGCCGACAGCAACTTTGCAGTTTCGCCATGGCAGCTGTCAACTGCAAGCATGAGAGCCGTGGTGCCGAGAAGGCTCTTCAAGTCTTTGTTGGCACCAGCTTCCAACAGCAACTGGCAGATCTGTACTTGTCCATCTTCAGCTGCTAGCATGAGGGCTGTGTGGCCATCTTCATCTTGCGTGTCCTTGTTTGCACCGGCTTCAATCAGCAGACGTGCAATCTCCATGTGGCCACTGTCAACCGCGCGCATGAGAGCTGTCACGCCGCCTTTACTTTGCAGGTCCTTGTCCGCACCACCTTCCAGCAGTATCCGCACTATCTCCAGGTGGCCATACTCAGCTGCGCACATCAGAGCGCTGAAGCCGCGCTTATCTTGTGCATCCCTGTTGGCACCACCTTCCAGCAGCAGTCGCGTGATCTCTATATGGCCATACACAGCCACGACAATGAGAGGTGTGAAGCCTGCAATGCCCACGTAGTGATGCCTTTCTGTGCGTGGGAGCTGCATGTAGTCTGGATTCTGAAAGTCCTTGTTGACACCAACTTGAAGCAGGGACCGCACGACCTCCAAGCTTCCCGTCTCGCAGGCTTTAACGAGCTCCTTGCCAGCTGCCAGGAGCTGCTCCGCTGTGGAAGGGGCTGAGAGGACCAACTCTATATCCATGGGGGCATCTAACAAAGTCAAATTGTCCAAAGTCTTGCCATTGTGCATCAGCTCTTGCATGCAAATAGGGAAGCCATGAAGCTGGCAAAGTGACTTCTTCAAGTCCCACACTCGTCTAATGTCTTCCATGCTTACTGCGGGTAGCTCCTGCCCTGACATCCTGCGCACGCGAAGCATTCCGGAAATGTGCGTATCACCCGCAGCGGCTTTGGCCGACGATTTGTCAGAGGGCATGCATGCTTGTGCTCTTATGGTCATTCAAGGTGCAAACAAGCAGCCACGAACACCAGGGGCCGAAAAAGAGCGTAAGCCATCGATAGATAGGGACTGATAGGGATATCTTATTTGAGGCCCTTTATAACTAAAACCAACCCCCAGAAGGTAATAAGAGCTATCTCCAAAAGTTTATGCTAGTGTTTCTTACCCCTAAAAGATAGCCGTGGTGTTGGAAGGACGGTAACGCTTCGTGTGTTGCTCTGCAGCTGCTTCTGCGAGTGCTGTGAATGGTCTGTGGTGCAGAAATACGATTTGTCTAATTACTGTTGATATGGAAGCTCCTGCATGACTGTAGTATCCTGGAACATCATACTTCCGTTTCTCTAAGGAAACACCCTAATGAAGCCCTAAACCCGAAAATAATCCAAAGCACAAAATAACTGTGAGCTCGCCTACATAGGCTGAAAGCCTGCGGTTTCAGTTTGGCGAGCCCCACACTTCCTGATTTTTCAAAAAGCTGCCAACAGGAAGGATACTTCAAGGTCTGGGTAGGTCATGAGTGCAAGTCCTCTTTGCAGCCTGGAATTCAGTCAGGGTGCATGTGGGCTGTATGAAAAATGAGGAAATAATTGCTCAAAATGCGACAATTGCTGATGCCCTACTATCGACAGACCCTTGCAACCGGAAATCTGGCTGAAAGGGCTTCTGACAACCCTAAACCCTAAACGCATGAGGCAAGGTGGGGATTTCCTGAAATATGGTGATTGGGGTTATAATGGGGTTATATTGGGGTTGTATTGGGGAAATATAAGAATTTCAGGGGGACGGTAAGGTTCCTTTTTGAAAGGTTGTAGCAATAGTGCTTAACTACCCGTAGTCAACAAGATGTCCTTTCTGTGCGTTTTGAGCCTAGCCCTAGGCCCTTGACCCCCTAACCCTCAACCAGCTAGCACGTTGGGACCCGCGTCTTTGCAAACCAAACATATTCTCAACTCCAAGCCCATTAGGCTGTAATTCCTACCTTCGTATGAATTGAAATTGAAGGCTACTCAAGCCCACGCCCTAGGCTTGCGACCATTCTGGAACAGCTCGACGTTGTCCTCCTCTGCAGCCGCAGCTGCATGAGCCAAGCACTCAGGGTTCGGTTTGAGGCTGAGGGTTTCAGGCTTTGGTCTAGTTCTTCGAGCTTAGAGAATCCGAAGTAAGCTTGAGGGTGTAATGCGTATTTTGGGGTTTCGGGTTTAGGGGGCCCTTTACTTTGAGAAGTACCCTCAAGACTCAAATCTGCTGCAACTTCCACTCCACCTTAAGCTTTGCACTGCGCCAGACCTACATGGAGCCACAAGAGACGTTCTAGACTATCTTGCTTTCTGAAGAGGGTTGTGCCGGGTTAGATGTTAGTTTGGTGAGGGTTAAACCTTAAACCCTAGACCCTGAGAGAGAAACCCTGCACTCTCAGCCGTGTTCAGTGCGAACGTGAATCGGAAAACTGTACCGTTCTGAAAGAGCAGCTGCAAAAGTCACCAACCTATAACATTGTACTTAGCGGCCGTTAGTAGAAAATGATAGCACTTGGGCTATATGGGTGACCATATGGGATTATATGACTGCTATTGGGATCCTTACCAGGAACCAGCATGTGTGCAATTACGGGGCCCAAAATCCCTAAACCCTAAATAGTAGCTTCCATTTTCTTTTCCATTATCCCAATATAACCCAAATAACCCCTAAACTCCAGACCAGCCTAAGCGCCAGTCCTGAGCAGAAGCGCGACACAGGGTCACCTTGCTCTCTCGCCCAAGCTGGGAGCAGTAGACCTTCAGGGCTTGGAATCTCGGGCCTGAGCCCTATTTGGCTTAGGGATTCTTACCCAGACCCCCGAAAGGATCTAAAAAAAGGGAACCCCCCAATAATCCCCTAGTTTCCCCAATGTAGTAATGGGTACATATTTTGGATCCTTTAGGGGGTCTGGGCAGGGGTGTGGGGCTTGATACAAGGACTTTACGGATTGCACTTCGGAGCAGCTTTGGTTTCGGTGCAGGGGGGAGACTGCAGCTACAGAAGCCTTCTCCGAATTTATGTGCGATGAACGCTTCAACAATTCATGGCGTGGAATTCTTGCGGCCTACAACTTATTTGATTTCGTATGTTGGGAGAAAACTCGGGAAATGGAACCCAACACCCCTAAACCCTCAACACCAAACCTCAAGCCCTGGGGACTCCTGGTAAGTAGGTTCAAAAAAAAGTGTGATCGGACCCCCCACCCTCGAACAATCATAAAAACCCATATTGTGTACTGCATAATCGGAATATTTAATATTAGGGGGGTGGGGGTTTTAGAGTTAGGGGAGGGGATTGAACGCGAAACCCCAACCTTCAAACACAAATCGAAAATCGCTTCTTTCGAGAACGCCTTCATCCGGTTCAAAGTAGACGCCTGAACAATTGGGGGGGAACATTCCCGATTCGGTACATTGGACTTGGCCTAAACTAGTGTTCCCTAAAGATATATACATATATATAAGCCTATATATATATACATATTTACATATACATACATACATCCATCCATCCATCCATACAT